CGGCCCGCGAGCTGAGGGAGCCGGGTCCGGTCCCGGCGGGAGCGCACTGAAAGCGGAGAGAGCGAATGCGGTCCTGGGACCCAGGCACGTTCCCGGTGCGGCGAGCTGACACGCAGAGACGCCTGTTCCTGTGGTCGTGGAGCTGGTGGGGTTGAGTTGTTTGTTTACACTGGACGTCTCGGTGGCGAAGTTTCGCTCCAGAGCCTGTTCAGGGTACGTTCTGTTGGCTTCTGTGTAACCGGCTGGTTTTGACGAGCGCCGACTCTTGCGAGGGTGACGGCGCGGTGTGTGGTACGGAGAGACCCGCTCGCTTTCTCAGCGCCCGCGCCCGGCGGGAAGCGCGGTGTTGGGTTTTCTGGTGTCGCGGTGTGCCGTCCGGACTTTCGCCTCTGGCGCTCAGATCGTTAGCTTTCTCCTCGGTCCCCGCGCCCCCTGCCCCCGGCCAGGCCTAGAGACAGGAAGTCAACCAGCGTTCCTGCTTTGGGTCTGGCACCTCGTTGTGGGCGCTGGGAAGGGCGGCCTTAGGTGACAGCAGCGCGGTGACTTAAGCTGTAGCTGTTGAAGGTACCCTCTTCCTTGCCCGGGCCGTCGGTAACCATGTCCTTGTCGTTGGCACGCTGATGGAATGAGATTTGAGCCTCGTGTGCTAAGGGGCATATGTAGGAGAAAGGGGGTTTTAAGATCTTCTCAGTGTATTCACATACCTTGTATCTAGGTTGGTACGGGGGAAGCTGAGCCTCCCATTAGGAGTGTAACGGCTTGCAGTGGGCACGAGTGCCAGCTCGTTGTTTTGAGAAGGGTGCTTTTGTGTGCAGCCTGACCTCCAGCAGCTGAAGTGCAGGATTGCACGGCTGGGCTCTGACAAATGGTGGTTCCCTGGTTTCCCGGAGCCACGTAGGCCCTGACTGAAACATGCTTCCAAGAAAGGTGCTTTCAGCTGCGCGTTTTAAGGAAATAAGATCTCTGATCTTTGGAACGATTCCTTGATTTATTCAGCGAATATTCATTGCATCCTGTGTGCCAGGCACCAGGACAGAAGCAGCGACCAGAAAGTTGACCCTCCCAATCCTATAGACAACCTAGCGGGGACATGCGAGGTCATCCCAGCTCCTTCATTGGGCTCTGCGTTGTCAACCCTGCACCCTGGAGCCTAGAGCCCCGTTGCACGTGTCTTTGTGACTGATCCACATTGTAAACACGGTATAGTCATCTCAGAAGACCCAGCGCTGGCCGGGTTATAAACGTTTCGCCTAATGCATTTCCTCAGCACCGTTTTCTGCTTACCTGTGTTCACCTTGAGTTTAGGAATAACGTATCTTTTGTTTACTTCCGATTTTCCAAGAGCCTTTCCTTATTTTACTATTTTATTAAATGTAAGCTATTTCAAGCAAAGTGAGTTCTGTTCTCATAAGAAAAAGGGGCACAAGTAAAAAGTCGTATAATTGGCTGCTCCTCTTTCTTCCTTACTATTTGCTGGTACCCATGGTTACCAATTTCTTTCCTGGCAAAGGGTGGCTGTGAGCATGTGTGCTGTGAGCATCACAATGGCTTGTTGCAGACGTGTCCCTGGGACTTAGAGATGGGCACGCTTGGTGCTGCACGTGGGCCTTGGTTCATGGGCTTGCTTTCACGTGGGGAGAGGGCTTTGGAGTGGGCACTTTGGCTCCCAGTGCAGCTTGTGGGTCCTGCTGTTGATACTGTAAGTACCAGGGGGTGCCTAATTTCCTAGGAGTTCCATCCCTGTAGCCCAGGGACTGGTTCTTTCTAGTACATGTTGGCAAGATGTTCCAGGACCTGATTTTTCTTCAAATGTCTGTCCCATGATACCAAGTGACTTCATTTGACTCTTAACAGAGCAAAGATTGTGTTCACAGGCCAGCTCTCTGTTGTCCTCGGGTCCCTGAAGGGTGGCACTGTGTCCCCTTAGAGGCCTGACTTCTCATACCCCTGGTAGACTCAGCAAGGCCACTGAGAAAGCTTTTCCCTACAGTTTGACTTTTGCGTTTTCCTTACTTAAGTGGTGAGGTCACTTACAGTGTATGGAAATATAATATTACCCTTTTTATGGCCAGCGTTAAGTGACCTTGCTAATTCCATCACAGAGGTCTGTGATTGACAACTAATGGAAAGGCATCAGTCCGGAAGGAAGGGGCTAGAAACCGTTGACTCGAGTTCACTTGGTCCAGTGCCCACCTGATTTGCAGAGTAGTGGCTCTTGCTTAGGCCTCGTTTTATTTTTTGAGTAAGGTAAATTGTTACACCAAGTTGAATAGGTAATTGTATGTATTGTAATAAGAATGCCTGTAACCATGACAATAAAGCATACTTCAGCAGGTGGTGGTTACCTTGTGTGTAATTTACGAGGCAGATATTTCTCTCTTTGGGTATCAAACTTCGAAGCTGTGGTTTTGTTTTTCATATGCTGATACAGACACTTGGGTGGTACTTAGTACACCTTTATAAGACTGTAAACGGGGGCTTTTTTCCAATATAAAGATAGCTTTACTATGGTTTGGGTTATAAAGATAAATACACATATAGAAAATTAAAGCAATATTTAAAAAAAGAAGAAAGCAAAAACACCACTGAGCTAAGCCATTTGGGCCTGACATTGTCATTTTAATAGGTGACTTCCATCATTCATTGCATGTTTGCCTGCTGTGAGCCCTGACCAGTCTTGACTTGGTAGAATTTCAGATAACTTCTTAGGAAACTGTGAGGTCACAATTGTCCCCCATTTCCCAGGCAGGAAAGTGCAGCCCAGAGAGAGGTAACTTGCTGTTAAGTTTGCAGCCAGGGACATCCTGATGTAAAAGCCATTGAGCCCCAGCCCCCAGTCTGCTTATCCAGGACTTAGCCCACTTGTCAATGGAGGGGTGTCATGTTGCGGTCAGTAGGGGAGGGTGCTGCTGGCTGCCTTTGTCAGGACCAAGAATGGTGAGTGGTCCCCCTGAGGTGCCACCCCACACCCCATAGAGAGACAGGGCTAGGTAGATGCTAGCCTTGGACTCTTAGGGTTTGTTGATTGTAATCTGAAGTTTCCTCTCTAGTTGTAAGACAGCCCTCCTGGGCATGCCTCTCTGCCCGTGCAGCATTGAGATAAGCTTGAAGATTCAGCTCTGTGTGGGTCCATGAAAATTGACACAAAATCCTGTTATTTATTCTTTAACACCTTTATTTAAGCTTAGAACTTTCCCACTACCCCAGAGGTCGGCAAACCGCGGATCGAGAGCCACATGCGGCTCTTTGGCCTCTTGAATGTGGCTCTTCCACAAAATACCACGTGCGGGCGCGCACGTACAGTGCGATGGCGTTAGAAGAAGTGGGGGGGTGTAGTGGGGGGGTGTAGGTGGGTCGGGTGAGGGGAGACGCAGCGCAGGCGGGCCTCGGGATACACAGCGTGGGGGAGGTACATTGGTTTTGGAGGTACGTTTCGCTGAGGTCGACCCCTTTCCAACT